CTTCCCTATTCAAAGAAAGAGAGAAATAGAAAGAACAATTAGTAGTATGATCATCTCCTAAATAGTAGTATCCAAAATAAATGTTAGAGGTGGCAAAATGGGCGGGATGGGCGGGATTTGCTTGGATTTGTGATGGAACCGAGTCATATGGGTTTGGATCCAACCTTACCCATATGTGTTTTGGGACTAACTTGGGCGGGATCACTTTGGGATGGATTTAGATTGATCCCGCCCAATACCCAAATCTATTTTCTACATATTTTTTTTCCTTCATTTTTATTTTTTATATAATTTTAATATTTTTGATTTATTAAATTTTTTTTAGTTTTATTAAATAAACATGCAAGTGCTTTATACTCAGGATTCCCATCAAAAATTGGATTAACAAATAAAGGAAAAAATAGATATACAGTCATATTCCAACATATATCAAGATGGCCAAGGTACTTAAGGTGTTGAATATTTATCCTCATCATTGTCCAAAGATGACAGGTCTAAATTGACTGAAATGTTGAAAATTCTTGTGGATAATGACTAGGAAAACTACTAGATTATATTCTCTAGTATGACTATAAAAATTGTTAAAGATAATTTTTGAATCTAAGATTCCGTTTGGATTGGCTATTTTTTCAAAAAATAAGTTTTTCAAATACAATGTTACAGTAATATACAATAACTCAAAAAACATCACATCCATATTAGTATATCAAATATTTCAAAAAAATTTTATAGTAAAAATTTTCATATACACTGCTATAATAAAATATTTCAAAAATACCCCCCAAACATAGCTAAACCAAACAGAGCCCTTGTTATTTGAGCCCAATGGGTACCCAAGTATTTCCCAAGTATTCCCATCAATTAATGAGTACAATTGGGATTTGTCCCATTTTAAATCCAATATCAAAATCCAATACCCATCCCGCCCAAAGTCCCCATGGGCATGGGTAACCCATTGGGACTTGGGACAAATTGCCACCTCTAATAAATGTATTACAAGTTTTATGGAATGCTCCGAGGTGGGGGGATGACCATCAAAGGGTTTCAAAAAGGAAAATTAGTATGTGCCTGCCTATCTAATTGCCAAAACAACATTATCTGTAAATTCTTGTGGGATGATTTTCTTCCTGATGTTTTCTTGCTCCTGCACAAGGCATATCTTAATAAATAGTTGCTGATTCTTAAAAAAAAAGAAGACTTTACTCTAAAAAATGATTGCATCTAATCTAGAAATCATGATCAGTGACTTTATGCTAGACTTTGATCATGGATGGAGCAATTCTTTGAACACAAATTTTTATTAAACACATCCATCATCATGATCAGTGACAATACCCTAAAATTTGATCCCCTCGTAAAGTCTCTTTTTCAATTTTGTTGGCTCCTAAACTTGTAAAGATTAGTCTCTTTTAAAATGGTAGTGTAGTGCTTCGTAAATATATTATCTCAATAAGTCTATGTAATGACGTAACATTCTTGTCCAATGACTGTAGATTTCATTTGTGGAACTTGCAACCTGGCAAGGACATGAATGCACTAGAAAACAATTATGTGCATTTTTTTCTAAATCCTTTTGCGTACAACAAAAATTTACCTGGGCTATCTCTATAAATATTGTTTATGGGGTGGCGCTAATTGCCAACAGAATTTAATTTAGAGTGCATTAGAGTGTGATCATCGTCTATATTCAACAATTTCACATCAACAAGACTATTTATCTAATTGGTCATTTCCTTTATTTATGTTTTTGCTTTGTGTAATGGTATTCTACAGGAAATGTAATTAAAGGATATACTAACATCAGAAACTGTGAAAGCTAAAGGAAGTAGACTTAAACCACAAGAAGTAGGAAAGTTAAAGGGACCAAATTTGTTTTTAGAAGATATATAAGGAATTAAAGCATCACGAGTCTAAAACTTATGGGACGAGAACCCAATTTTGCCTAGCTAAAACGACCATGTTGATGTAGAGTGGAAATAAAACGAAAATGAGGGATTTGTTCTTTTGCGTTTGGGCTTGGTTTTTGAGTGTGAAAAGGGGCTGATAGTGAATGAGGCGGCTATAGCAAATTTAGTTATTATAAAATTTTGTTTAGGTCCAAGAATCGACAAAAATGGTAGGAAGGAAGAGTTATGATAAATCATCATGTGTCTAGAGATAATTTATCAAGTGTCAGCAAATTATGTATATCATGTGTCTAGAGACAATTTATCATGCTTAATTTCTCTGACTTCTAGTAATCTTGATAAATTTTTATTAGAAAAAAGGCAAATTATATGCCTTCAATGAAGAATATGGAGGCCAATGTAGGAACAAAACACTATATTTCCAATTCATTGATCAAATGATAGTTCCAGCAAAATTTACTAATCGCTTTGCAGGTGACAATTTGGATTTTGATTAGGTTCCACGGAAATGCAAAGTCTTGAGGATCCAATTCGTCCCATATCGAAAATTTGAAGTGAACGTGCTTGGGACATGTCTTTAGATTCATTGGACTAGGAGTAAAATCTTGCTACAGGTTGACTGTGTGTAGTGAGCTTTGAATCAAAGCTCAAAGCTCTTACACACAGTCACCCGCTTAGGTGCGTGTTTCACAATCAAAGCAAGAAACTTTCACGCGTTTGAGAAATTTTCACGCACCTAAGCGGGTAACTGTGTGTAAGAGCTTTGAGAAATTTTCACCCACCTAAGCGGGTGACTGTGTGTAAGAGCTTTGAGCGCAATTTTCACGCACCTAAGCGGGTGACTGTGTGTAAGAGCTTTGAGCGCAATTTTCACGCACCTAAGCGGGTGACTGTGTGTAGCTTTGAGCGCAATTTTCACGCACCTAAGCGGGTGACTGTGTGTAAGAGCTTTGACGATTTTCACGCACCTAAGCGGGTGACTGTGTGTAAGAGCTTTGAGCGCAATTTTCACGCACCTAAGCGGGTGACTGTGTGTAGCTTTGAGCGCAATTTTCACGCACCGCTCATCAAAGCTCTTACACACAGTCACCCGCTTAGGTTGAAAGTTTCTTGCTTTGATTGTAGCGCTCACAAGAAATTTTCACGCACCTAAGCGGGTAACTGTGTGTAAGAAAACAAGACACCCTGCCTCTATATATGGAATCCTTTCAAGATTGGCAACACATCTTCAGTTTCTCTCTCTCAACCTTTTTCAATTCCTCGCTCTCTCCATCTTATAGCCAAAATAATACCTTGTCAAGAAATCCTCAATTTCTCACTCTGTCAGCCTTTTTCAATTCCGCACTCTCTCAACCTTATTACCTGGATTTGTCCTTCACAACTATGGTGATGAGCATCTGGAAAAAATCCGTGAATTCCTTCATCAATCGTGCTAAAGACATCCGTCTCTTTAGACCCTGCACCTGGTGGGCGGACAGCCCAGAACAGTCCCAGTCCCCACCTGAATTGCAAAGCATCCGAGTAGACCAGACTAATGCAACACACTCCACTGATGAGCCAGGAGGTGGGAGACCACGTCCAGCCCCTAGCACTGCTGATGGTAACAAGATGAGCGTGAAACAGTTATTATTGGTGATGGGAGTTTGTTTGACTGCTGTTGGGGCTGCTCTGCAAGCTCTCCAAACTTCAAAACCACTTCCGATGGCCTTTCATTGGTTTTGCGTGGCTCTCGAGCTGGCCTTTCTCTCCATGATTGTGCCTATATACATCCGACCCCGTAACCAGCTGGCATCTCTTGTGATGCACCATGCTGCCATTTTATTGATGGCCACGGCATTCATGCTGGCCATCTCAATGAACTTTCCGACCCCAATTCTGGTGATCAACATGGCACTCTACTTCATTTTCGTCCTTCTCAACATCGTTGCCAAACTTTTGATGCCCTGAGACACAATAAATCCATATTCCTAGTGGTTTGTTTGCTTGTTAATTAGACACAATAAATACATATATATTCCTAGTGGTTTGTTTGCTTGTTAATTAGTTTCTGCTTTTATTTTAAGTTTTTAACTAGCAGTTTATGAGCTCAGTTGTATTTCGTGGGGTATTCTCGAAGGTGAGCAGTTATGATAGTATGTTTTTGTCGAATGGCTTTGAAAGAAAAAGAGAGGTCAAGGTGTTATACATGGATATAGCCAGTTCCCGTGATTATTTCCTTGAATATTAAGGATATAATTCAGAAGGTGTTCAGACTTTCTTTTTTTATAAATGATGTTATGTATTTTTTTTAATCTTTTCTTTGTTCGAATATGGACATCGTGTCGTCGTGATCAAATATCTAAATCACAGAGAATTGATCTTCTCAGTCATGAAACCTATCATTGAATTTAGGGCAAATTACATTTTATCCCCTTGTGATTTTCGCAAAAACCACATAACCCCCTATGATTATAAAAGCTATACATAAACTCTCTATGATTTGGGTTGAAGTGTCAAATAGACGGAAAACACCCATCGTGACGATTCGTATCTTACACGTGCTTGTACTACTGGTAGCAGTAAGAAACGTTTGCATATTACCTTGACCACTTTAACGGATCCAATAAATCCTAGATCTGTGCTCCTTATCTCTTTCAATGACGGCAATGGATATGGCTCTGTAGATGGTAATGGTGGTGGTTATGGGGCTGGAAGCGGAGGCAGCAATGACGGCAGTGGATTTGGCTTTGTAGGTGGTAATGGTGGTGGGTCGGATCGGGTGGAGGTGGTGGTCCAGGCGGTAAATATGGTCCAGATGGCGACGGTAATGGTGATGGATGGAATGGTGGTAGCTATGGTCCTGGTGCAAGCAGCAGGCAAGGGAGTTGGGGCAGCAGCTATGGCTATGGCAGGGGCTGGTGCAGGGGCCCTGGCTTAAGATATGGCAGCAGTAGTACTGGTCATGGCAGCGGAGGTAACAATGGAGAAGGGCAGTATGGAATCACTGGTGGGGGCCTAGACAGGGACAATCAGCTGCTCCCATACAGCATGAAACCATGACTAGAGCTCTTGTTTCAGAAATCGCATTTTTTGGTAGTTGACCAACGGAAAAGCATGGGAGAAAGAAGGATGCAGAAACCGGAATCCTATCTCTTGAAGAGAGGTGCAGAAAGCTCTCCCTTTGACTCAGGTGGGCCTTCCACCACTTTGACTGTTGCGGATGTAGTTCCTCTCATTGTGAAGAAAGAAGTAATGAAAGGAAAGAGAAGCCCAGGCCGTGTTCGTTGTTGCCTTTTTTGTATTTATATTAGGGTAATTTGGACATTTCGCCCACAAATCGTGACGATGGGTAGTTTCCGTCTATTTGACACTTCAATGCAAACCATAGAAGATTTATGTATAACTTTTAAAATCATAAGAGGGTTATGTGGTTTTTGCGAAAATCACATGAGGGTAAAATGTAATTTTCAAAATAGTGCAACTTACAATGAAGGTTTCGCCTTAGATTTAACTGTTAGTCTGTTACATAGGAAAATTTTCGATCAAAAGATCTCATCTTGGGCAGTATTCATGAGACTTTATTTTTTCTTTGCTAGAAAACAAAACATGTTTTGGTTCTCAAAATTAGTTTGTCAATTTTATCAGTTCATATTAAATGAATAAATACAAGTCTGTGCTAAGCTTTATCATAAAGTGCAACTCATGTGCTTTTTTCTAGTCTTACTAAAACAATATGTATCAAAGCAGTGCAAGCAAACGGTAGAAGTTGACCTGACATAGATCTGACAATGTTTAGTTGTTTAAGAATAGTACCTGTGGAACAAGCAAACGGGCTAATTTTCTGGGAGTTTTATTGAACTTTTATTATTTGTGTTTTGAATGATGGTGTGACTTTAAAGAAATGCTCGGTTGAAATTGGATGCAGCCTTGTCCTTGAATGAGGTTGAATTCTGATTGTCCTTTCAGCCATGGTAATTGATAAGTATTATAATTGGGTTATATTGGGTGTAGGCTTTGAAAGGAGGATACAGAGAGAAAGTGCAGATAGCAATCAAGTTTGGCATTGGAGCAAGGGATGGGAAAACGGACATTCGTGGTGATCCAGAGTATGTGCGTGCTTATTGTGACAGCAGCCTGAAGTGGCTTGATGTTGAATACATTGATCTTTTTTATGCTCATCGTATTAATACTCATGTTCCCATTGAAGTCACGGTTAGTTATTTTTTCGATACCACTTTAATGCCATTTTTACCTGGTATTATGGGTTTAACCATTTGAAATTACAATTTTTAGATTGGATAATCCTGATTACAAAATACTGTTTCTTCAACTGATTTAGTAAAGCTTCGTCTCAAAAACAGCAGTAACTGACATAGAAAAGCTGCCATATTTTAAGAAACTGTCATATTTTAAACTGCCATATGCTTCAACATTACTACAATTATGGTTTGTATAAGGTAGTACTGGTATGAATTCTTTGAAATGTTCACTTTCAGATATATTGGTCATCGTAAAAGAACTGCCATATTTTAAAGGCTCATCTGTTGGCTTTTAGTCTGTTTGTCCTTTCCAACAAAACCTTGTCCATGATTGTCTGTTAAGATTTTTGGAGTACATATCTGCCTACTTTAATGGTGTTAATTTCAGTTGTGCTTGCTTGGTGCTCATCTCTGATGCCTGCCATGTCTTATGATTACCAATAAAATGAACATGCTTGTCTCCCGATTCCTTCTGGAAGTTTTTGAGCCAGGTTGGAGAGATGAAAAAACTTGTTGAGGAGGGTAAAGTTAAATACATCGGTCTATCAGAGGCCTCTGCTTCGACAATCAGAAGGGCTCATGCTGATCATCCTATAATAGCTGTTCAGTTAGAATGTCCATTGTGGTCAAGAGATTTGGAGGAAGAAATTCTTCCGACAAGCAGGTAGAAATATTTTGTGCTGTTACAATTGGTTTGGAGGAAATTAAATGACTCTATTTACTTTCCTGTTTCATTATCAGAGTGCTTGGTATTGGCATTCTCCCTTACATCTCTCTTGGACGAGGATTTTTCTCTACAGGACCACAACTGCTTGACAACTTAGCAGAGGGTGACATGCGTCAGGTTGGTGTACTGAACACTTATGAGTATATTTTCACCTTATCACGATTCATTGCGCTTTTCTCTTTTGTCTTCAATGGAGTTGGGAAAGTTAGCGAGTAGATGGCTGGTAAAAGAGAATGCATAGAGCAAAGGATTTTCTAATTTACATTATTTATCTATAGCATAGTAACATCTCATCTTATTTTTGCATGTACCATGCATTTTCTTGCCCATAAAAGATGTTTCTGCTGCACGCGCATGTGTGTGTTTTGACATCTTTTTCCCCCTTTGTCATTGGTTTGGTAAGAGGGAGGAGGCAGTCCTTACTTTCAGGTTTTCTCTAGATTTTCAGTTTTTCGCTGCAGATGCTAATGGTCTCCTAATATCTGTCCTTGTGTTGTATGATATCTGAATGGCCATTCATTTCTTTTTTCACTAGAATTCTGCTGAGTGCACGTTAATGATACAGTGTTTTTTTCACGTGTGATACAGCTCTTTTTGCAGGATTAATGATTCAACTTTTGCAACTCTTTAGAATTAGTTCCATTCCTGATAAAGTGCAGTCTTTCGTTGCAGAGTTTTCCAAGGCTGAAACCAGAAAACCTGGAGGAAAACAAGAAAATATTTGCACGGGTTAGTGAAATGGCAGCAAAGGATGCACCCAAGCACAGCTGGCCTTGGCTTGGGTTCATCATCAAGGAGATGACGTGGTTCCAATTCCTGGTACCACCAAGAAGGATAACTTCAACCAAAATGTAAGAGCTCTATCAGTAAAATTAACACGAGAGGGCTTTTTTGGACAAAAAGCTCCATTTTTTCAATGGGTTCTACTCTTGCAGAATAAGGAATTTTTTTTTTTGTTTTTCTTTCTTGCAAAGAGGGCTTGATTTTGTGATTATGTTCTTGATTTTGGTAAAAAAAAGGTTTAAAATTTTCCTTATTGGTATTTTAGATGTGCAGAAAGCAGAAGAATAGGATATGAGTGCATTATTTGCCATCGTTATTTCATGAGTCCATTCGTTACAAACATACAATTCAATTCGATTCAGTCATATGAGTCGACTAATTTCACATTAGAGTCGTTCTAATGTCTTGCACCACTAAGAGCAACCTGATATCCAAATCCACAAAGCGCTGCTCATCTTCACTGAGTTGTATCTGTTGTATTATATAGAGAGAGCAGATGAGCCCAGAAAATGCAGCTCGCTGCAGCCTCTTCTCACAATCTTGTTCTTCAAGTGCATCCGATAAACATAGTTTGCTGCTGCAATAAAAATTTACCAATAAACTGTGCCCAACCATTTGGAAAATCACAGTCATGAAGCATGCAAGTCTAGTCCAAGGCACTCATTTTACTAGCCCACTAACCTGAGAGTATAACAGTCATTCCTCTGTTAGTGCCTATTACAAACTACTGCTGATTGTTCAGTGATTTTCAGAAGAGTAATATCCTCTGTCTTTCACATCCAACCTTGATTGACTTCAGATAAATGCCATAGAAGGAAATTTTGTTATGACGTTACATAAACGCTACATGCAAGCTCTACTTCCAGAGCAAACCAGATAAAGATGCACTAGCATCTGTGCCAACCTATTTGGAAAATCATGTCAAGCGTGCAAATCTAGTCCATGGCACTCATTTTACTAGTACAGAAACCAAGAGTAAAATCTACTGTTGATTGTTAAGTGATTTCCAGATGAGTAATATCCTTGTCTTGGACATCCAATCTAGATTAACTGCAGATAAATTCCATAGAAGAAACATTCGTTATGACATTACATAGTCAGAGCAGACAAGAAAAGATACAGTAGCATCTGTTGACTGTCATGCAAAACAGAACACAGGTAATGGAGCAGATTCTGTCGATTCTGATTGTTGATATAAACATTTTAATTTGACAAGAATTATTCGTTGTCCTTCATTCCGGTTCATTCTGTCATATTTAAATGGTCCAGTGACTTCCTCGTTGGGTTGCTGGTTACTAAAGTTTGATTGACAGCAAGTGCCTTCTATCTTTTACATATGTTCCGGCTTTAGCTTACCATTTTCACTTGGATTTTTTTTTTCTTATTTTGGGTTGCCATGGATGGATTTGAGAGCATGGGTGAGACGGGGTGATCAATATGAAGATCTATTCATAAGATTCCGTGAATCAGACAAAAAAAAATTGAGCATTAGAAGTAAAATCATTTTCAATCTGAGGAACATCTTAAGACTTCTAGCATCGGAATTCAACCAGCTCCACATTATCCACAGTATATAAAGAAGAAAAGAAGAACAAATTTAATGAAGGACATGAGGTTGTAGTATACAAGAGGAACAGAGTTCGACTAGCACTACTACGAACTATTCTTCTCAGAACTCAGAAGTGCTTACTTTACTCTTGTCCTGATAACGCAACATGCTATATAACTCACATTCGATCTTCTTATAGACATGCGATTTTTAAACTCAGTGTCTTGTAGATTCTATTAATTGAATATTCTGTTATGGCATACTATTGGAAATAGATTATACCATTAAAGAGGTGTTTGATCATTATTGGTATGGTCAATTTTATTTACACTCGTAAAGTTTGAGACGAAAGTTTTGTCAATTAACGTTTCTGACTTCAGTTTGTCATAAATAAATAAATTACTACATGTACTTGCCTCGTTATCTCTCCTCCCCTACTCTTTCGCTTTATACATATTTTTTTCTTTCATTCCTTCCCAGTTTATGTTGCAAGAACATCATCTAGTTTCCTGGTTTTGATATGAGTGCGGAATCATCTCGTATCGTATCTGAGTACGTACATAAAGAGTAACATCTGCAAAGTTCGGGAGCGGGAAACGCACTGCGTGGATTGCTTTGAGCCTGGTGGTGCAGTATCTGAAACAGAGGAGCTGCAGCCCGCGCGTATGGTGGAGGAGCAGCAACCCCATAATATTCATCATGATCGAGCCCAGACTGACAACGTGATGAACATGCAGTGGGCGTTGGTGGTTATTGGAGCTTGTTTCGCGGCCATTAGCGTCATCTTGCAAGCTCTCCAATCTCATGCAACTCTCCCTGTAGCTTCAACCTTTCCCTGGTTCTGCATGGCTTTCGAGCTGGCCTTCTTAGCTTTGTTGGTATCTGTTTACATACGGCACCATTAAGACAAAGCATATCGTGTCATGGAGCACGCTGCAATTTTCTTCTGCGTTGTTGCGCTTCTCTTGGCCATCTGGATGACCCTCGATCCCCCACTCAAGCAGATGTCCGCCGCCCTCTTCTTTGTTGGGTTCACCATAATTATCCTTGCCAATCGTTCTCTGCGTGACTGGTGAATTTTCTCTTTCTTTCCAGAAATTTTCACTTTATCTTGGTTTTGTAACATTTGTTAATACAGAGATATATCTGAAACAGGGTTTAACGGAACTACTGCAGTGTGATCCTCTGATGCATGCGATTTAACATCTCTGCCGATTGTTTTTCTGCCTCTGATAAGTTAAAATTCTGTTTTCCACTTTGTCTTTTCATTTTCCGTTTTTTAGTAAGTAGTACTGTTTTATATGCATTGGACACGTACATGTAAAACAGGGCAAACAGAGACCATGCTGTTGTTACCTGTTGCAGGAGATACCTGAGTTCCTTTAAAAGACTAGTACTATGTTTGACTTTTCCTTTCTTAAATTGTATGCCATCTATTTTTAAGTGGATCTTTTTTGTTTACAAGCCTGCCAGCCTGTTATTGGATTGATGGCATTGAACCTTTTTTATTTTTCCTTTTTTTCATTTTTTTAAAATAAAGAGAGAAAAAAAAAAGATAATAGGGAAAGGATTGAACTCGCAATAATCGGATCTTTCCAGTTATGCACCTCATTAATGGATTTATTGAAGTGCACGAAAGGAAAGAAGAAAAGCTGTGGATAGGAACCACTGAGTGGTTCAGGTTGAACTAGTACTAAGATGGGGAAAAGGGAAACGGATTAATGGAACAAGGGATAATAATTGATCATTAACTCCAAACTGCCAAGACTGCTGATGGATCTTTTCTTGTTGTATCTCCTATTTAGTTTTAAGGTGGATGATATATAGTTCAATAGGGATTTGAGTATGATGGATGATCCGATCCCTTTACAAGAGACCTTTATATGGCGTTCACCATAAAATTCTTCCAACAAGCCAATAATGGCACCAAAATGGATCCTCACAGACAAACCAGTAATACATCATCTGAAATTGTGATTAACTATGAGTCCAAGATGTGAATTATGTAACCAATCTCCTTACAATTTTTAACCAATGCCCAATTGATTAATGAGTCATTCTAACATCTTGCACCACTAAGAGCAACCTGATATCCAAGTCCATAAAGCAATCATCCTCCCTGAGTTTATGTACTACAGTATTATTGAGAGCAGATAAGCCTAGAATACTTTTTGGCAAAATCTTGATCTTGAAAACTCATTCCTCTGTTCTTTTAGAACACTTTTAGGTAAACTATGTCATCCTATCTGGAAAATGAAGGTCAAACAGCATGCAACTCTAGTCCAGTGCAGTCATTGTACCACTTCACTCACTGAGAGTATATATTTATCATTCCTGTGTCCTTTCCTATGTTACTCTATCACAAACTGCTGTTGATTGCTGGGTAATTTCCGGTCAGTAAAATCCTTCCCTTGCACATTCTATTTTGAATAACTTCAGACAAATGACAAAAAATGACATCAATTCATTGCTAAAAGCAAGCTCTACACCAGAGCATACAAGGAATTGTTACTCTTAATCTATCCACTGTCATGCAAACAGAGCTAATGCAATGGAGCAGCTTACATTTAATCATTAATTCAACAAGCATTCACTCTATCATGTTTAAATGCTCCAGAAACTTTCTCATATCACCAACATTTTTTTTTGAAAATATTTTCTGGAGTAGCAAAGCATGCTCAGGTTGGTTTCTCATACGTTCTTAAGTTTCAATCTCACTAACACTTCCCTAAATCGGAAACATTTCAACTATACCACGATCACCACCACCACCACCACCAGTCCTTCTCCTCCACCCATCCGAATCACCACCACCACCACTAGCTTCAAAATTTGAACCTTAAATTCCCCTCCTTCTCCAACCCCTACTTCTCCTACCATGTTAGGCCTCTAAATATTACAGATCTGTCGCTTCTCTTCGACATTTATCGAGCTCAACCTCTTCCTCTTTGGCACTGTTGCATTTGTGCTGGCCATCTTGATGCCCCTCAGTCTCTCACCCAATACTTTTTGGCAAAATCTTGACCTTGAAAGATCAACGGTAAACTATGTCATCCTGTCTGGAAAATAAAGGTCATAAAGCATGCAACCCTAGTCCGATACAGTCATTTTACCGCTGGAAAATGAAGGTCAGAGAATGTGCTACGATTGAATTTATAATTATATAGAAGAAGATGCATCTTTCCTGTTCAGAGTCTAAAGCCTATTATTGGATTGATGGCACTGAAACATTTTTTTAAAAAAAAATGGAGAACATAGAATTGGAGTGTCAATACAACATAGAGCTTTACAATTCTGCACCTGATGATTGGATTTATTGCAGTGCATGCAACAAAATAAGAAAGGATGTGGATAGGAATAACTAGCCATGATAGAGTTTCTACGACTTTTTTTTTTTTTTTGGGTGTAAATAGCCATGATTCACTTTATTCCCTCCCTTGAAGGAATAAAGAGACCTCTTGAAGGAAACTTGAATTCAAGATCAAAGTCGAATTTTTGTGACATAAAAACTCAATTTTTTTAGATATCATTCAGGTGACTCTTGTCAACTCTACAATCAAATCTAGTCAATTATCTTTTACAGTTATGAGCACTACTCAAAAGTCCCATATAACCTTATTCACTTGAAGACATTATAATGTATAATCATACACTAGGGCACACCAACTTCTATTTGCATAATTAATGGTAGAGCAATAATGCAGTGGATGTACAGAATCAAGGCCTTCTATCATCTTAGAACAATATTTTTATGACATGTCTCATACATGGCATCAAAAATGCTATACATGATGTAATTTGAGTCTTATATTTTCTTTCTTAGACCAATCTTGACTCTTAACCCTTCATGGATAGTTTCTGTAGCAGCGATTCCTGCCCTAAATTCGATACACGCTTATATATTTGGCAGCTGTGCTGTTGACCGCATAAAATCAATCAGGAAAAAAAAATAACAAGGAGAAAATGAAAGCAACCTCACCTGGGTCTTATCTAAAGTGGAAATTTTGATCCACTTAAGAGCATGGGGTTTTGTTTCAATTCTGTGTTGAATTGAATGAAAGAGCTTGTCGTGGGGAATTTTGCATGCTTGGTTTTTGGACAATTGTGATGCTTATGAAAGTGCAATCGGCCGGCCCAAAATCTTTCGTCTCAACAGAATTGAGTTCCACTCCATTTTGTGGCCTCATTTGGATTGAGACGCCAGTCCAGGAGAGCATTGGCAGCAAAAACTTGGAAGAAGAAAAATGTTTTCTAACACATTACTTGTGAACTGTTGCCCTGTTTGGCAAGTGAGTTTTGTAAATGTTTATCTAAAATTTTACTGTAGGTTACTGCAGAAATTTTTTTTAAAAAAATTTTTAAAGTGTGTAAATTTTTGAATATTTTGAAATGTATAGTTTAAAAACTTTAAAAAGTTTTTTGAGACTACTATAGCTAAAGTTTTTAAAAAATTTGTGGCAGACAAACTTGGCAAAAAACTCAAGTGTTGTGAAGTGTTGGGGGTGGATTGTGAACTGTGAAGCTTTGGGGAGGATTTTGATTTTTGAGTGCTCTGCTTGTGAACTGTGAAGTGTTGGGGTGAGAATTATTTAAACCCGAGTGTATTAGTTTTATTTTTGTTTAATAATTGGATTTAAACGCGAGTGCTTTCGTCACATTTGATACTTTGTCAAGTTTTGTCAAGTTTCGAAGACCCCTAAGCTCTTCAAGATCCTTAAATTTTCTTTTCAAGCTATCATATTACGGAATAATTTCTTGTGGTTTTAATGCCAAAAGATTGGAAGAAGGTACTGTATAAAATTTACTTGTTTTAAAAAGCAATCTCCTTAGTTAGTAGGTTATATAAAACAACTCATAAAATGAAAGTTTATCTGCAAATTATGTACATCATGTGTCTAGAGATAATTTATCTTATTGTATGTTCAACCAAAACAGTTGTTGAAATTATATGCTTAATTTCTATGACTTTCCAGTAATCTTGATAAATTTTTATTAAAAAAAGGCAAAGTATATGCCTTCAACGAAGAATATGATGGCCAATGTAGAACAAAAACACTATTATATATTTCCAATTCATTCATCAAATTATAGTAACAGCAAAATTTACTAATCAAAGCAGGTGATAGTTTGGATTTTGATTAGGTTCCGCGGGAATGCACAAGCCTTAAAGAGGTAAATGTGATACCTCCAATTTGTCCCATACCGAAAATTTGCGGTGAACTTGTTTGGGATATGACTTTAGATTCATTGGGCTAGGAAAAAAACCTTGCTAAAGGCTGTTGGGCTAATCCTTGGGCTCAAGGATACTCTCATGGAAGAGAACCGAGTCAAGTTAATCACTCGATGAGGAGTAAGATTTGTCAGACATCTGATGGGGTCTGAGAATTCTATCAGAAATGAATTCTACGAGATCATCTTAGTCTACTACGCTTATGTCGCTTTCTTTTTTCCCTTATGCCGCTTTCATTTCTGATAGAATTCATCCATGTTTGCATCTTAGTCTTTTTGATAGAGAATTCATCCATGTTTGCTCTTTTTGATAGAGAATTTTTGCTCTTTTTTCCCTTATGTCGCTTTCATTTCTGATAGAATTCATCCATGTTTGCATCTTAGTCTACGACGCAAACATGGATGAATTCTCTATCAAAAATGATAGAGAATTCATCCATGTTTGCGTCGTAGACTAAGATGCAAACATGGATGATGCAAACATGGATCATTTCTGATAGAATTCATCCATGTTTGCATCTTAGACTTGCATCTTAGACTTAGTCTAAGATGCAAACATGGATGAATTCTATCAGAAATGAAAGCGGCATAAGGGAAAAAAGAAAGCGACATAAGGGAAAAAATACGGATTAAATTAGTGAATAAAGGGACTAACATGGATGAATTCTATCAGAAATGAAAGCGACATGGATGAAATTAGTCTTGACAGCCGACACTGAAATTTGTCATTCAGGCAACTCCTTGATTGAGTGGTTAACGTAGTGTGAATGGAAATTGGATGGAAAGCCTAGATTAGGTCAAAAATATTTTCTTTGGAGGGCCAATCGACTGAGAAATTCTCAAGTTTTTTTGTCAAAAGAGAAATTTTCAATTTGAAGGGTATGATTTAAAGTTTTTGTGCGATGTTCCAGTTTGCGAGTTTATCTGCGGCACCCATTTGTCCGAGTTCCCTCTACCATAAAAATGAAAAAGCTGTCATGGTCCTATGAAAAATTTAAAACACCTGGGTCAGTGGCGGAGCTAGGAATTGCAATTTGGGGGGCGAGTCTCTGTTATTTGGATCAAG